CTCTAGAGCTGAAACCTCACAGAGAAAGGAACTGAGTCTGCTCCTAGAGGAGACAAAATTCCATTTCCTGACTTGCTGAGGGAGATTTTTATAATTGGGATAAAACTCTGAATTAATCCCAGTGGCATCAAAAGCTCCCCATTGCCTCCCCTGTCCCAGAGCCATCCTTTGCTAGAGAATCATTTGTTTTACTCCAAAGAGCCCCTTTTTCATTCCTCTGTTAAAAATCTGATTTTTCTTTAATTTGTGTTTCCTCCTGGGGGATCCTGATTAAACTCCACACTTCCAAAGCCTTTGCAGGGTTTGGGGAGGGAGAATCCGGGGGGATTCAAAGCAGCCTCTGCCTCTTTCCCCCTGCAGCAGCACTTTGGATAAGCAAAATAAAATAAAATAAATTTTCTCCCCAGCTCGGGAATAGAGGCAGGAATTCTGTCCTTGCCCAGAGAAACTGGAAATCCCTGGAATTGTCCAAGGCCAGGCTGGATGAGACTTGGAGCACGCTGGGAAGGAGAAGGTTCCCTGCACAGGGAATGGGCTCTGATATCCCAAATATTCCATGATTCTGTGATTCCTCTGGAAGAGAAAAAAAAGGGAATTAGCATTTCCTGGAGGTTGTTCCCTCTGGAGAAGGGAATGCTGCTCCAGCTTCCTGGGAGTGCAGGAAAAGCAACCCCAGCTCACATCCGAGGGAAATAAAGCACCGGAATGATCCCAATAAATTACAATAATTGTGCCTGGCAGCATGTGGTAATTTAAAATGGATTAATCTAACGAGCCTTAAAGAGGAATAAATAATAAACATCTCCATGGAATGGGAATGCTGCTCCCTTCCCTGGGCCTGGATATCAGTGAGTGCTCAGAGAGCGCTGGAAAATCAATCTGGGAGGAGAAGGAAGGAGGAATTAACTGCAAGAAATTCATGAAAAGTGGGAATGTGGTGCTTGGAATGGGATGTAGGTTTGGAATGAGGGTTGGGCTCTCGGGGCTTTTGGATCCCTCATTTCCCAGCAGGAGCTGGGATTTCTCCATGGAAAGTGATGGAGCCCCAGGTGGAGCTTGGCACATCCACATGGAGCCGAGGTCCAGGGATAAATCCCAGAGGAAACCTCCCTCCGCTGGAAAACGAGGAGCAGGCAGCTCCAGTGGGGGTTTTTCCCTGCTCCTTGGTTTCCTGGGATGGGATCTGCCCCTCGCAGGGTTTGGATGCTCCGATGCGCTTGGAGGCAGGAATTCCGTGCTGCCCATTCCCAATATTCCAGCAGGAATGCTGTGGGGTGCAGCCCGGATATTGGGATGTGGTTGATCCCCACCGCTCCCTGTCGTGTTCCTGCCTTTGGATTGGGATTCCCAGGCTCTGGAATCGCAGCTCAGGATCTCATCTGGGAGCTCTTCCTCATCTCCCGGCTCCGCTCTCGGGTCCCGCTGGAATCTCCATAGTGACGGAGCAGGGGGAATGTCATTCCTGGGAATTTTATCCTGCTGGGAATATCAGGGCTGGCCGATATTTGTGTTTATTTGTCTCTCCCAGCTCCTCCCGGGGCTGTGGATGTGGCTGGGATGAGCCTGGGGTGCTCTGGGAATATTGGGAGCAAGGAGAAGCTCCTGGCTCCAAATCCTGGGGATGAAAAGGGACAAATCCCGGATTTCTGGGAGGATTGAGGAGGGAAACGATTCCAGGGGCATTGGGAAGGGATTCCTGAGGATGGGCAAGGCTGGGATGGGGTTCCCAGGGGAGCTCAGGATCCCTGGAAGTGCCCAAGGCCAGGCTGGACCCAGCTTTGGGGGGATGGGAATGGGAATCCTGGGGTGTTCTGCACCCACAGGAGCTCTGCATGCCCTGGGCTCGGTAATTAACCAGTTAATTAGTTAATTAATGCCTGGGTGTAATTGGGTTTTACGTAGAGGAGTTGGATTTTTCTCATTTCTCTGTGGCATTTGAAGGTCCTGGGGATGAACAGGAAATCAGTAATTAGTAAATTTTTAAATAATAAGGAAATGATTTGAACTCAGCTTATTGTAATTAAGCCATTAGCTAATGACTAATGAATATATTTATTCAACTTTTCTCTCTTTAGCTAATTGAGCTGATTTTTGGTTTCTTGGGAGGTTTTTTGCACAATCTCCTTTGGAGCTGGTTTTTACCCAGGAGTGGATTTTTACCTCAATGGCTCTTGCTCTTATAAATTGATTTTTGTGGGAATTTCCCGGTTCTCTCTTGGAGCAGCCGAGCTCCGTTTGAGGAACATTTTTTATTTCAGGTTTTTTGAGGAACATTTTTATTCCAGGGGGAGCTTTGAGATTTGGCCTCTTCTGCTCCTTTTTTAACCCAAATTTGTCAAATCTCGCAGGTGAAAATGCAAAAATTTTCACCCAATATTATTATTTTTTTAAACAAAAGCATAGCTTTATTAATATTTAAACTATATATAATATATATGTATTTATATATATAAAATATTATTATATCATTATATTATAAAAAAAAAGATATATATTATACATTACATATAGTGCATATTATATATATTATATATAATTATACATAATTAATTTATACTAATTCTATGTAATATATAGTAATTCTACACAATAAATATAATATATAATACTATATAATAAATAGCATATAGTAATTCTATATAATTCTATATAATTTATTTATAATTATATAGACTACATAATGATATATAATAATTCTATTGATATATTAATTCTATACAACTGTATGTAGAAGGATTATATTAATTCCATATAACTGTACACAGAATAATTATATCACTATATTAATTATATGTAATATTTCTTTTAAAACAATTACAGTTGTTAAGGAAGAAGGAAAACCAGAAGGGAAATGTTCTCCCAGAGAGGAGCTGAGATTTAAGGTTCATTATCATAATTAATAATATTATTAATAATAACACTGACATTAAAATTAATAAATAAAATTAATATTTTTAAATGATAACATTTATAATTTTAAGATATTTAATATAATTTCAAACTTCATTAAATAAATAAGAAATCTAAACCATATTAAATATTCTATTACAAATAATTATAAATAGAATAAATGTTAAATATTTTGTATAAGATGAATATTTTAATTTATTAACTGTTATATTCAAATGTTATTTATTGGAATTACTATTTTTCTATGAATAAAAGTGAATATTTTTTATAATTGTTTCTGGTCTTGTTGCTGAAATTCAATTTCTTCCCTTGCGCTTCCGAGACCTGGGGGAAACATTTTGGGATTTTGGGCTCCTGGATCCGGATTTTGGGGCCACTTTTGAAGCATTTGGGGAATTTTCTGTTGAATTCCAACGTGGGAAGTGATGGGGAAAGATTTAAAATAATGAAAAAATTCTGAACCACGGAACAAAGGCTCAGATCCGGCAGGAATGAGAGGGCAGGAAAGGAATCCCAGGGAATTCATGGGAAGAGTCTGCAGAGACTGAGAGTTCTTGGGTGGCAATTCTAGAACAAAAGAATTTTTAAAAATTATTTATATTTATATTTATATTTATATTTATATTTATATTTATATTTATATTTATATTTATATTTATATTTATAATATTTATATTTATATTTATATTTATTATTTTTAAATATAAATATATTTGGAATATATAATATAAATATATAATAATAAATATATTTTTATATATACATACACACACATATGTATGTATATATATGTGTATATATGTGTGTGTATAATTTATAATTATATATTATTCATACAATTTATAATATATATATTATATATATTTATATGTATAGATATATATTATATTATTATTTATTATTATACATAAATACTTAATATTAAATTATATAATTATTAAGCGATTAAATTATATTATTAACAGATATCATTATATATTATTATATATTTGATATTGTGTATAATAATATATAAATATATATTTAAATATATATATTTTAGATATATATTTTTATATATAATATATATTTATATATAATAATATATTTATATATAAAATATATATTAAAATATATAATTACATAAATATATAAAAATATATAAAATATCTATTTATATATATTAAAATATATAAATATATATAAATATATATAAAATATCTATTTATATATATTAAAATATATATATATATAAATATATAAAAATAAATATATATATTTAGATATATTTAAATTTAAAATATTTATATTTATATGTGTGTATAACCCCAACAGCAATTCCAGAATTCCATAATCAATCCCTCACAATTCCAGAGCAGAATCCTGGGAATTGTTTGTGTTTTATCCCCGGAGCTGAGGAATTCCGGGGGTGAATCCCTGCCTGTCCCTGGAGCGGGAATTGTGGCCCCAGTTCCCAGAGGATCCCGAATTCCCAAAGCACAGGAACGGGGGAAAATGGGATTAACGGGACCGGGGGGGTCATTCGGGGTCACGCGGGGTCATTTTGGGGTCACTTGAGGTCATTTTGGGGTTACTTTAGGTCATTGGGGTCATCCGAGGTCATTTTGGGGTCATTTTGGGGTCACTCGGGGTCATTGGGGTCGTTTGAGGCCTCCGGGGTCACTCGAGGTCATTTTCGGTTTTTCGAGATTTTCGGGATCCCTGCCCGGGGTTACTTTAGGTCATTTGAGGCCCTGTTTGGGGTCATCTGAGGTCATTTCGGGGTTACTTGAGGTCATTTTGGGGTTACTCGAGGTCATAGGGGTCATTTTGGGGTCAGTCGAGGTCATTTTGGGGTCTCTTGAGGTCATTTGAGTACCCAATAATTGAGTGAGGGCTCAGAGCTTGACTTTGCTTTAAATAATTCTCATTTAATTTATTTCCTTCATTTTTATTTTTATTTTAATTTTTATTTTTAATCTTCTGTAAGAGGCACTGGTGCAGAACTTGGGGTGAGGCTGCACTAAATAAAAAAAATAAAATAAAATAAAATAAAATAAAATAAAATAAAATAAAATAAAATAAAATAAAATAAAATAAAATAAAATAAAATAAAATAATTCCTCAGGGATCGCTCTCTGGAATTTCCTTTTTGGGTTTCCTGTCCCACATTCCAGGGACCCCGGAGTCCCCCGGTGGTTTTGGGGCTGGCAGCCCGGGCTGGCAGCAGAACATCGGGGTCCCCTCCTTGCAGCTCCTAAAGGGGAAAAAAAAAGGGGAAAAATGAGGGGGGAAATGGGGAAAATATGGGGAGAAAATGGGGAAAAAATGGGAAAACAATGATGAAAAAATGGGGGGGAAGTGGGGGAAAAATGGGGAAAAAATGAGAAAACAATAAGGAAAAAATGGGGGAGAAATGGGAAAACAATGAGGAAAAAATGGGGGAGAAATGAGGGAAAAATGGGAAGGGAAAGAATGGAGGGAAAGGGGGGGAAAAGGACAGAAAAGTGGGAGAAAAAGGGGGGAAAGAAAAAGAGGGAAGGAAAAAGGGAGAGGGAAAGGGTGGGAGGAAAATTGGGAAGGGAGGAAATCGGGAAAAAACGGGGGACAAGAAATGGTGAGCAAAGAAATCGGGGCAAGAAATCAGGGAAAAAGGGAGGGGAAAAGGGAGAGAAAATTGGGGGGAAAGAAAGGGGAAAGGGGGAGAAAAAATGGGAGAAAAGGGGAGAAAAAAGGGAAAAAGGGGAGAAAAAAAAATGGGAAAAAAAAGGGGGGAAAAGGGGGAAAAGTGGGAGAGAAAAGGGGGAAAGGGGAGAAACGAGGGCAGAAAAGGGGAGAAAAAATTGAGAGAACAAAGGGGGGAAAAGAGGGGAAAAGGGGGACAAAAGAAAGGGAGGGAAAAAGAAAGAGAGGGAAAGAGGAAGAGATAAAAGGGGGGAAGGGGTGGAAAAGAAAGAGGGGAGAAAAAAGAGGGGAGGAAATAAAGGGGGGAGGAAAAAGGGGGAGAAAGAAAAGGGGGAATGGAAAAGGGAGAATGGAAAAGGGGGAATGGAAAAGGAGGAATGGAAAAGGGGGAGAAAGAAAAGGGGGAATGGAAAAGGGGGAATGGAAAAGGGGGAATGGAAAAGGGGGAATGGAAAAGGGGGAATGGAAAAGGGGGAATGGAAAAGGGGGAATGGAAAAGGGGGAGGGATAAAAGGCGGGGAAAGGGGGAAAATGTGGGGAAAACTTGGGGGGAGAGCAAAAGGGGGAGGGAAATTGTCCCCAGCCCTATTGAACACCCCACACTCACTGTCAGCAGCCAGCCAGGGATGCTCTGTCCCTCATGCATTTTCCTCCTTCCTGGCCTTTGCAGAATCAGGGATGAATCCCTTTCTCCTGGTTTGAAGGACAGGAATCTCCCCAGGAGGGCAGGAACTTCCCTGGAATGGAAAACACCAGGAAAATCCCTCTTCTCTAACTCCCAAATTACGGATTTTCAGGAGAAAATGTGGGGAAATGAAAGGCGGTTCTTTACTAGAATGTATAAAATGAGGAAAACAAACAGCAGCCGAGGCAAAGAGAATTCCATCAGCAATCCCAAAAACCTTTCCCACCCTCTCCCCCTTCGGTGTGGCCGTGGGAAGAGCGGGATGGCCGGGGGGATGTGGGGTTTGGGTTAAAGTGGAACAAAAACCCCAAAACAGCAGCAGGGAGCAGCAGGGGCTGGGAGGGAGGAGGAGGAGGAGGAGTTGGGATTTTTTGGGGATTTCCTCGGGTTCTCACCTGTCCCTTGCGATGTCCTGGGGGTGGCAGCAGAGCCGGGAGAGGCTCCCCCGGAGAGGGGTCGGGGGTTGGGGTCTTGGATTTCCCCTAAAGCAGCGAGCAGAGGCTCAGGGACTGGAATCCCAGGTTTCCCCTAAAGTAGAGGCTCAGGGATCAGGGATTGGGGTCCCGGGTTCCCCCAAAGCACCCAGCAGAGGCTCGGGGTCCCTCCCAGTGGGGTGGGAAATCTCCCGGTTATGGGGGCAGAGACTCCCCCGGGGCAGGAGGGCGGTGAAGGACAGAACTCCGAGCTGGCAGCGGATCCCTGCCCCAAAACCATCGCTGTCCCCCCAAACCCTGCCCCAAAACCATCGCTGTACCCCCAAAACCATCGCTGTCCCCCCTGATCCCGGCCCCAAAACCATCGCTGTACCCCCAAACCCTGCCCCAAAACCATCGCTGTCCCCCCAAACCCTNAGGAATCCCAGGGAATTCATGGGAAGAGTCTGCAGAGACTGAGAGTTCTTGGGTGGCAATTCTAGAACAAAAGAATTTTTAAAAATTATTTATATTTATATTTATATTTATATTTATATTTATATTTATATTTATATTTATATTTATATTTATATTTATATTTATATTTATATTTATTATTTTTAAATATAAATATATTTGGAATATATAATATAGATATATAATAATAAATATATTTTTATATATACATACACACACATATGTATGTATATATACGTGTATATATGTGTGTGTATAATTTATAATTATATATTATTCATACAATTTATAATATATATATTATATATATTTATATGTATAGATATATATTATATTATTATTTATTATTATACATAAATACTTAATATTAAATTATATAATTATTAAGCGATTAAATTATATTATTAACAGATATCATTATATATTATTATATATTTGATATTGTGTATAATAATATATAAATATATATTTAAATATATATATTTTAGATATATATTTTTATATATAATATATATTTATATATAATAATATATTTATATATAAAATATATATTAAAATATATAATTACATAAATATATAAAAATATATAAAATATCTATTTATATATATTAAAATATATAAATATATATAAATATATATAAAATATCTATTTATATATATTAAAATATATATATATATAAATATATAAAAATAAATATATATATTTAGATATATTTAAATTTAAAATATTTATATTTATATGTGTGTATAACCCCAACAGCAATTCCAGAATTCCATAATCAATCCCTCACAATTCCAGAGCAGAATCCTGGGAATTGTTTGTGTTTTATCCCCGGAGCTGAGGAATTCCGGGGGTGAATCCCTGCCTGTCCCTGGAGCGGGAATTGTGGCCCCAGTTCCCAGAGGATCCCGAATTCCCAAAGCACAGGAACGGGGGAAAATGGGATTAACGGGACCGGGGGGGTCATTCGGGGTCACGCGGGGTCATTTTGGGGTCACTTGAGGTCATTTTGGGGTTACTTTAGGTCATTGGGGTCATCCGAGGTCATTTTGGGGTCATTTTGGGGTCACTCGGGGTCATTGGGGTCGTTTGAGGCCTCCGGGGTCACTCGAGGTCATTTTCGGTTTTTCGAGATTTTCGGGATCCCTGCCCGGGGTTACTTTAGGTCATTTGAGGCCCTGTTTGGGGTCATCTGAGGTCATTTCGGGGTTACTTGAGGTCATTTTGGGGTTACTCGAGGTCATAGGGGTCATTTTGGGGTCAGTCGAGGTCATTTTGGGGTCACTTGAGGTCATAGGGGTCATTTTGGGGTTACTTGAGGTCATTTTGGGGTCTCTTGAGGTCATTTGAGTACCCAATAATTGAGTGAGGGCTCAGAGCTTGACTTTGCTTTAAATAATTCTCATTTAATTTATTTCCTTCATTTTTATTTTTATTTTAATTTTTATTTTTAATCTTCTGTAAGAGGCACTGGTGCAGAACTTGGGGTGAGGCTGCACTAAATAAAAAAAATAAAATAAAATAAAATAAAATAAAATAAAATAAAATAAAATAAAATAAAATAAAATAAAATAAAATAAAATAAAATAAAA